AAAATTGCTCCTAAAACACAAGTACTTACAATCAATTCCTGCAGAACAAGAACATGAACATAAAATCAGCACAACAGGAAAAGATATCCCTTTTTTGTGATTCAGAAAAATGGACAGAAATTCACCTGTAGAAAGGTGTTTCTGCCAACTGCCTCAAAATCCTCTTTAATGTAAAGCAAGGCACCAGAAATAACCCCTACAACCCATAAACAAATACATGTTAGTTCTGGAATTTTCTATGTAACCAGAAACAAAACACAAAACGTTAATCTGATTCAAAATCAAATGAATCTATATATGTACCTGTATCGTAGCCGAAAAGAAGACCTCCAATTCCAGCGGAGAAAGCAAGCCTCATAATATAAGGAGTCTTCCATGTTACCTTCCAACATTCTGTGAATTCTGTCTTGTCCGCTGCTTTCACAACACCTCCTTCCACCATTATTTTATTTCTTCAGTTTTTCACACGCCTTAAAGTCTCTTATCTGAGTGAGTATACAGAGCAAACTGAACCTGCTGGGCAGAGAAACTAATGAAAAATTTTCAGTTTTTCAAAAGGGTTTTGACCTAGTGAATTACCATTGATTTATCAAGAACACTACTACTTTTATAGAAGGAGATAATAAACACTTATGGAAACCATATGATTTTATTCTAATATTAATTATATATGATTTAGAGATATCATTATCTTTATTTTCAGATTTTAATTAAGGAAATTGACATAAGGGAGTCGCATTATATTTTTTGAATAGTCATAATACATCACCTTTCCTAATCAGAAAAGTAATGGATAAGTTCTGCTATCTTTAATGGGGAAGGATATTTAAGGGAGCTCTTGGCTGAGGGATAAAATAGACATGTTTTTTTATGTTAGTAAATCAGTTTTTGGTTTATCTGAAAAGAGGAATTGGTAAGACAGCAAAATATATTTACTTTTTATATTAGGATTTCTTTTTAATAATTTAATTTATTTTTGATTTTGTACTTGAGATTAAACAGACTTGTAATCAAAAGTATAATTTAGTATATGCAGATGAAAATATACAAGAGAAAATACTTAATAAGATTGTTTTTCTTTCAAATCTTATTCTTGTTCTTTAGTTTTACTTATTGTTTTGCTATCCATAAACACCAATTATGTATAATTTTCTTTCAATAAGTGATATTAAAGCTTGTTTTTTATTGTTCGTCATGGCCAATACAAACTTCTCAATTTAATATCCTTCTTTGAAACAGAATAATTATGAAATTTGATGTATTGGTTTAAAAGCTTGGCTAAATTTCAAAAATGTATGAAAAACAGTTGAAAATGGCTTTAAGGAGCTTATAACAAGAGTAATGTTGATTTTAGCTCAAAGGAAGGTTGTGCAAAAAGCACAAAAAAGGGATTAACAAGCACTCATAATTATCTACTAATGTCTAGATATATAATGTTACTTTGAAATAGTGGTTAATAAAACCACTGTATTTTGTACTTGAGATTTATAAATAGACTTGTAATCAAAAATATAATTTAGTATATGTAGATAAAAATATACAAGAGAAAATACTTAATAAGATTGTTTTTCTTTCAAATCTTCTTCTTGTTCTTTAGTTTTGCTTATTGTTTTGCTATCCATAAACACCAACTATGTATAATTTTCTTTCAATAAGTGATGTTAAAGCTTGTTTTTTATTATTTGTCATGGTCAATACAAACTTCTCAATTTAATATCCTTCTTTAAGAAAGAATAATTATGAAATTTGATGTATTGGTCTAAAAGCCTGGCTAAATTTCAAAAATGTATGAAAAACAGTTGAAAATGGCTTTAAGGAGCTTATAACAAGAGTAATGTTGATTTTAGCTCAAAAGAAGGTTGTGCAAAAAGCACAAAAAAAGGATTAACAAGCACTCATAATTATCTACCAATATCTAGATATATAATGCCACTTTGAAATAGTGGTTAATAAAACCACTGTCAATCAAGCATGAGAAGTTTTGCAACACTCAAACCAATAAGGTGACAATGTCAGAAAGATACACTTATAAAAGTTACGAGGTAACTTTAAAAAATTACATGTATTTGAATTGGAAAGTATTTCAAACTACTAACCTATAAAGAAAGAGTTAATGACATTTAAGAAAATATAGGGGTACAAGCATTATTTTCAAGACTATATATATATATATAAAAGCAAGATAGTTCTAAATATACCCAGTATAAAGCAAGATAGTTCTATATATACCCAATGAGGTAAAGGGTGTGGACAAGATAAAGGAAAATGAGGAAGAGGTAGTTATGGAAGAAGAGGTCGAGATAACATTAATAGGTCAACTGATCAACCAAATAAAGCAAATCAGTTGATTGGCTCATTTGATAGTAGCAACTTAAGATTCAAGTTTGACAAAACAAAAGTTAAATACTATAATTGTAAGAAGATAGGTCATTATACCAAGGATTGTTGGAATCCAACTTGAAGGATTGAGGAGAATACTAATTTTGTTGTAGATGAAGAGAAAGAAGCCACCTTATTATAAGTCCATGATGAACAAATACAAGCCAAAGAGAACAAAAGGTATGTAGATAACGGTGCTAACAATCACATATATAAAGATAGAGACAAGTTTATAGAGCTTGATGAATCAATTAAATGTAATGTCACCATCGTAATTCATTCAAATGTTTCATCAAAGGAAGATGTATAATTCTCATAAAATTAAAAAATAAAAGTCATTAATTTATTAGTGATGTCTATCATATTCCTACTATAAAAAAGCAATATATTAAGTTTGGAACAATTGTTAGAGAAGTGTTATAAGATTAAGATGAAAGATCATACCTTAACATTACTTGATAATTATGGAGCTATGATTGCAAAGGCAACCGTGCAAATAATATAATGTTCTTGTTAAACATAGAGACTTGTCTTTGGCATACGAGACTTAGAGATATAAACTTTGATAACTTGAAGATAATGGCATAAAATGAGATGTTGAAGGGTTTACCATCCATTATACATTTAAATTAGTTATGCGAAGAATATTTAGTAGGCAAACAATTCCACAAAAGCTTTCTAAATGAGTTTACATTTAGAATTAGTCAATATCTATAAGAGATATATGTAGACGTATAAAGTTCTATTCAACCATGATCATTTGGTGAAAATTTGTATTTTTTTACTTTTTATTGATAATTATAGTAGAAAAGTATGAGTCTATTTCTTAAAAGAAAAGTCTAATGTATTTAATTATTTTAAAAAGTTTAAACATTAATTAAAAAAATAATTTTCTAAAAAATCACTTATGACAAATATGAGGGATGAATTTTGTTTTAATGAGTTTAATTAGTTTTATAAAGCTTAAGATGCTCAAGGTATAAAGAGGCTCCTAATAGTGCCTTGGTCACCACAATAAAATGGCATGGTAAAGATAAAGAATAGAAGCATTCTCAACATGACGATAAACATGCTTAAAACCAAGAAGATGCCAAATAAGTTTTGGGTTTAAACTAGAGATTGTGTTGTTTACTTGTCAAATAAGTATCTTACAAAATACTTATATTGCATGACTTCACAAGAAGTATGAAATAAAAGAAAGCCAAGTGTTATTCATTTGAAAGTGTTTGAAAGCATGGGCTATGTGCATGTAGATGATCAAATAAAAATCAAGTTAAATGACAAGAGCAAAAAGATGATCTTTGTGGGTTATGATAAAAAGTCTAAAGAATACAAGCTTTACAATTCCAATAAAAAAAAGATGATAATTAATAAAGATGTGACATTTAATGAAGAATGAGTATGGGATTGAAAGGTAAATAATAGTGAGAATTATGATTTTTTACCAGTTCTTGATGAAGAGAATAAAAGACATAAAGATTATCAAGAACCAATAGCTACACCTTTATAATCACCACTGAATTCAACTTTACCTTTATCTTTCTTTTCTTGTTGAAGTTCCAGTAATGACAACCCACCTAATCCACCAAGAAAGATGAGAAGCCTTGATAACTTATATGAAATAACTAACCCTATTAATAATAATGTAATATTATATTGTCATCATGTTACATGTGATCCTATAGTGTTTGAAGAAGTAATAAAGGATAAAAAGTAGAGAATTACTATAGATAAAGAGATTGTATCGATTGAGAAGAATGATGCATGCAAATTAATTTTTAGAAGAAGAAAAAAAACTAATAAATGTCAAGTGAATCTACAACAAACAAACAAAAAATATCAAAGAAGAAATGAAGAGTTACAAGGAAAGGTTAGTAGAAAAAAAGTTATAATAAAAAACATGAGATTGATTATGATAAAATATTTTCTCCAATTGTTAGATCAAAGACTATTAAATTAATCATTGTCACAAATAAAATATTTTCTCTAATTGTTAGATCAAAGACTATTCAATTAATCATTGTCACAACAATCTATCAAATAAATATCAAGTCATTTTTTCTATTTGGTTTTTTTAAGGAGAAGGTCTATATAAAGCAACTTATGAGCTATAAAGTAAAGTGATATAAAGAAAATGTTTAAAATTTAAACAAAATCTTGTATAGATTAAAGCAAGTCTCAAGAGCTTGATATAATAGTCTTGATGATAATTTTTTGAAGAATAAATTTGTTAAATGCTTCTATAAATATGTTGTTTATACAATATGATGATCCACATACAAGAAATTAAATAAATTAGTTGACCAGTTCAAAAATAGTTGACTAATTAAGCTGATGTAATATATTTACTATTTGGATTAAGATTTTCCTTAATTAGTTTAATTTCTTATTTATCTAGGATTTGAGACCTATAAACAAACTTGTAATCAAAAGCATAATTTAGTGTTCTTCAAAAGGAATACACAAGAGAAAACATTTAATAATATTATCTTTCTCTCAAATCTTCTTCTTATTCTTTAGTTTTACTCTTTTTTTTTTTTTGGTTATTGATAAACACCTACAACACCTAGTTTTCTCCCAACACCTTATATTTTTTAATTAAAAATATTTATCTCTCTTTATGGGCTATGTACATGTAGATGATCAAGTAAAAATCAAGTTAAATGACAACAACAAAAAGATGATTTTTGTGGGTTATAATAAAAAGTCTAAAGGATACAAGCTTTACAATTCCAATGAAAAAAAGATGATAATTAATAAAGATGTTAAATTTAATGAAGAATGAGTATGGGATTGAAAGGTAAATAATAGTGAGAATTATGATTTTTTACCAGTTCTTGATGAAGAGAATAAAAGACATAAAGATTATCAAGAACCAATAGCTACACCTTTATAATCACCACTGAATTCAACTTTACCTTTATCTTTCTTTTCTTGTTGAAGTTCCAGTAATGACAACCCACCTAATCCACCAAGAAAGATGAGAAGCCTTGATAACTTATATGAAATAACTAACCCTATTAATAATAATGTAATATTATATTGTCATCATGTTACATGTGATCCTATAGTGTTTGAAGAAGTAATAAAGGATAAAAAGTAGAGAATTACTATAGATAAAGAGATTGTATCAATTGAAAAGAATGACGCATGAAAATTAATTTTTAGAAAAAGAAAAAAAAGCTAATAAATATCAAGTGAATCTACAACAAAAAAAAAGAATGTCAAAGAAAAAATGAAAAGGTACAAGGAAAG